AAAATGAGCATAGCGAACATCAAAAAAGTTGAACGGAACCATCCCTCCACATATTCATGTGATCGTACTGGTATAATTTATTAAATTGGGAGGAAAATCATCCGATAAGAAAATCAAATAGCCAAAAAATCAATTTACATACCGATACAACGTTTTCAAAACCGTGAAACATACGATTACTTGTTTAGCTCTAAATAGATTGTAGATATCGGATAATAAAGAGTAAATGCGAATTTGGGAAATCAAACATATACGATTTTACGAGCGTTGTTCTATTGTGTTATAGATAATGGCAGGTAGATCAAAATCAATAATACAGAAATAGAAATCGGATCTCCAGAATCAGGGTCTAATTCTATATACGTCATGGCAATCAAGATCAGCAATTAAGCGACGACCATGAGAAAATAAATTACTGAATTCAGGTATCGTGCATTAAAAGTTAGACTAACAATCTCATGCGACACAAAATACAAGAGCAAGTGTTACTTCGGATGCGAATACCCAATAAGATGCAAGGTTTTGCCATTTAATTTGTCGTATGACCATACACTACGTGAAATTTTCAATATCACTCCGTTTCTGGTACTTTTTTTCTTTTATATATCACTAAAAAAATAAATATTCGATATTGCTACACATTTTTAAGTTTACATTCACAGGAAAATGTGGTTTACAATGTTTGATATAGTTTTACTTTTTTTCAAGTTTATACTAAACATTTTTTTTCGTGAAATAAAATCACGAGGTTCACATAATATTCCAAAAGAAGGGCCCGTTATTTTTGTCGGTGCACCCCACGTAAATACGGTATGTAATATTGACAATTACAAATCCATATCATATCTTTTAATTCATTATTTAATTTATAATAATAGTTCGTCGATGGTTTGATTCTAATGAGATATAGCCAACGACAAATGTTCGTAATGATTGCTCAAAAGGCTATTAGATATGGTCATTATGTCGGAGCTTTGACTCGTGCGACTCATTCAAGTAATTACACAACCGTCTTTTTTTTTTTTTGTGTCCATAATCGCAGTAAATTGCGGAGCGTAGCGACGGACACTCAATTTTTATGCAATAAGTGATACAAAAATTACGTTTTTGATGCATGTCGATCGAAAATAGGTACGTACTTTTTGATGTATTTACATAAATTTTATGAAGATCGCATCAAGAACGTAATTTGGAAATTTTTTGTCTGTCCCGCCGCGTAACTATTTAATGAAACGCATATCTACGCGTTTGTGCAATATGATGATTATCATGTGCTCCGGACACACAATGCTACGCATTAACAATACTTTCTTTTCATTAGTTGTAGTAAAAAGACCAACAGATTTGGCTGAACCAGGAAAAGGAAAAATCTTTTTAGATAAAAATAAAGCGGATCCTCTGCGTATAAATGGAATTAATACAGAATTTACAAAACAATTAAAAGTTGGATATCAAATTTCCTTACCAAGAGAGTACGAATTATGTGAAATAACAGAAATAATATCAGATACAGAACTTGTTATTAAAAAAGAATTCAAAGAACCAAAAGCTTTAGAAGTTTTGACACAACCTGGTGGAACATCTTACACATGTGTGCCATATGTTGACCAAAGTAATCTTTATCGAATCGTGTTCGAGATTATGAATTCTGGAAAATGTATTGGAGTATTTCCAGAAGGAAGAAGCCATGATCGACCTGAATTAATACCTTTGAAAGGTTTTTATTCCTAAATAGTGCTTATTAAGTTATAGAGATATTTTGTTTACAAAAGTTTGTTGTTATTAGCGGGAGTAGCCTTTATGGCTTTAGGTGCTATGGCGGCATATCCAGGATTGGACGTCAAGATTGTGCCTTGTGGTTTGTTAATATTAATATTACATGATCAAAAATTATTGTCTAATATTATATATATACTGTGTACATCTCACTAATTAAATGTTTGTCCGGGATGTTACGGATGCTACACAATAACATAGGGCTGAATTATTTCCAAGCACATCAATTTCGTTCTCGAGCAGTTATCGAATTTGGTCCACCCATTTCAATCTCATCTGAATTAGTTGAAAAATATAATAAGAATGGTTTGGACAGAAAAGAGGCATGCAATAAATTAATGGAAATCATTTATGAAAAATTGAAATCACTGGCAGTCACTGCACCAGATTATGAGACGTTGTCGGTATGTTTTATAATTCTTATCAAAACATCTAATAATACATTAATAAATCCAATTTGATAGGTTATTCGGGTAGCTCGTTGTTTATGCAAACCAGAGAATCGCAGACTTGAAATTGATGAGGTGATCGATTTAGATCGAAGATTGATTAATGGTTACATGAAATTTAAAGATAATTCAAAGATTCAAGAAATATATAAAAAAGTGAAAAAATATGATCAATTATTAAAGCATTATGGATTAAACGATTATCAAGTTCAGAAAACTACTATTGGAAAGTTTAGAGCTTTGGCATTGTTATTGTATTGCTCTTTTCTTTTGATTTTGTGTAGTATTCTAGCTCTTCCCGGGTAAATATAGAAAATTGTATCTTTTGATTTCGGTGATATTTTTTAAATTTCTTTTTCTTTTTAAAAAACAAACATATGCATATGTGTAGGTTAATCTTAAATCTTCCTCTAATAGTGAAGGCACAAATCGTTAGTGCCAAGAGAGCGGAAGGTTTGATAGATTCATTTCTGCCAACTTTCACCTATCGATTTTACCATAACTAATTGTAGTTTGTCGTTACAGTGGTCTTAAAAGAATCATGTATAATGATTACAGGACGTCA